TGTACTCTTTGGGGTGCCTGCTAAAAACATTCTTGTTTTGCCAAGGCTGCCCAGGTGTCTCTACAGCCACAGCTGGAGCTGTAACTCCCCAGCGGTTTGACTTCACCCCCAAAGGTACACCCTTCTATTGTCTCCCGAGACAGACAGTTGCCATCCAACTCAGATGCTTAGAAAGCTGAGGTACCGTAATTATAATTTGTTTTAGGTTTTTAACTTTTGTATGTTTTAAAGCAGGGTTGTGAATTTGTTCTTGATTTTCTTGTTTTATCTTTTTTGTAAACCGCTTTGAGGGTTTGGGTTTGTTTTTTACAGCCAAGCCGTATATACATTTTATGAAACAAACAAACAAAACTACCTCTTCCTGTGGGTAGCTCGGCTGGCAGAGCATGAGACTCCTCAACTCAGGGTCCTGGGCTTGAGCCCCCATTGGGTGAAAAGATCCCTGCTTTGCAAGGGGCTTGACTAGATGACCCTCGTGATGCCTTCCAACTCTGCAATTCTATGATTCTAGGAAACAAACATAGCAGGCTGCCTTAGACTGTGAGGCAGACCGTTGGTCCTGGTAACCTGTCCAGGATTTCAGAGGTGGAGATGCTGAGGACTGAGGCTAAGCAGAGGCTCTGCCACTGAGCAATGACCCTTCCCCAACTCAGCTGTAACCGCAAATGTCTTTTAAGCTCCCTCTGGGGTTATAAAGTTTCATCCACCTTTTCCACTTCCCTGCCTCCGTACAATCAGTGCAATTTATTTCCTTCTTTCTGGGTCCTCCATAGACTTCTTCAGTTCAGAATGAATTATTTCCTCCCTATTCTCATATATCCTTTTCTCCTTTCTCCTCCCTCCTCAAAGCTCTTCTTGCTTGAACCATTTTTGGCAGCTCACTTTGAGAAGTTCTTCTCCTGGCTTTTATCCTGACACCCCTCCCTTTACTCCATACCAGTTGCTTAATGGACTCTGCCTTAAGCCCATTGGTGCAGCAGTTAGTCGAGATCTGCAGCTGCGCTCCCTTGTTCTGGTTTAAGACAATTATGACAATGCTGTCGTGCAGCTGCTGCACCAAGTCACAAAGGGAAGCGGGGAAAGCCAAACTGGTAAAAGTTAAAAACCCACAAAAAGTGAAAAAATATTTATTCTCATAACAATGCGGTAAGATTATTTCAGCACATTTTGAGCTTCTGCCACACTTTATCACCAAGGCAATCACTGTAGTGAGTGATTACTGCCCAATGGTAGCTTGCCAAGGCTGCTTTTGGACAAAAACAAACAAGCAAACACAGAGCAAAGCAGTAAGAACTCATATGGTTTTGCTTCAAGACTCTTTCCAGTTCTGTGGACTGAATCATGGCTGCCCTGTGACACCATGGAAACTTCCCCTCATAGCTCCAAAAATAGTAGCCTGAGAATGCTTGGTGTCTTCTTGGAGACCTTCCCAGTCACAAGTGGAGGAGATGCTTGAACAGGTGCATGTGAGCGAAAATGGCTTGCCCTGAGAGTATTTAGATTGTTGTTGTTGTTGTTTAGTCGTTTAGTCGTGTCCGACTCTTCGTGACCCCATGGACCAGAGCACGCCAGGCACTTCTGTCCTCCACTGCCTCCCGCAGTTTGATCAAACTCATGCTGGTAGCTTCAAGAACACCATCCAACCATCTCATTCTCTGTCGTCCCCTTCTCCTTGTGCCCTCCATCTTTCCCAACATCAGGGTCTTTTCCAGGGAGTCTTCTCTTCTCATGAGGTGGCCAAAGTATTGGAGCCTCAGCTTCAGGATCTGTCCTTCCAGTGAGCACTCAGGGCTGATTTCCTTCAGAATGGAGAGGTTTGATCTTCTTGCAGTCCATGGGACTCTCAAGAGTCTCCTCCAGCACCATAATTCAAAAGCATCAATTCTTTGGCGATCGGCCTTCTTTATGGTCCAGCTCTCACTTCCATACATCACTACTGGGAAAACCATGGCTTTTACTATACGGACCTTTGTTGGCAAGGTGATGTCTCTGCTTTTTAAGATGTTGTCTAGGTTTGCCATCGCCTTTCTCCCAAGGAGCAGGCGTCTTTTAATTTCGTGACTGTTGTCACCATCTACAGTGATCATGGAGCCCAAGAAAGTAAAATCTCTCACTGCCTCCATTTCTTCCCCTTCTATTTGCCAGGAGGTGATGGGCCCAGTGGCCATGATCTTTGTTTTTTTGAGCTTCAGACCATATTTTGCGCTCTCCTCTTTCACCCTCATTAAAAGGTTCTTTAATTCCTCCTCACTTTCTGCCATCAAGGTTGTGTCATCTGCATATCTGAGGTTGTTGATATTTCTTCCAGCAATCTTAATTCCGGCTTGGGATTCATCCAGCCCAGCCTTTCGCATGATGAATTCTGCATATAAGTTAAATAAGCAGGGAGACAATATACAGCCTTGCCGTACTCCTTTCCCAATTTTGAACCAATCAGTTGTTCCATATCCAGTTCTAACTTTAGCTTCTTGTCCCACATAGATATTTCTCAGGAGACAGATGAGGTGATCAGGCACTCCCATTTCCTTAAGAACTTGCCATAGTTTGCTGTGGTCGACACAGTCAAAGGCTTTTGCATAGTCAATGAAGCAGAAGTAGATGTCTTTCTGGAACTCTCTAGCTTTCTCCATAATCCAGCGCATGTTTGCAATTTGGTCTCTGGTTCCTCTGCCTCTTCTAAATCCAGCTTGCACTTCTGGGAGTTCTCGGTCCACATACTGCTTGAGCCTTCCTTGTAGAATTTTAAGCATAACCTTGCTAGCATGTGAAATGAGTGATATTGTGCGGTAGTTGGAGCATTCTTTGGCACTGCCTTTCTTTGGGATTGGGATGTAGACTGATCTTCTCCAATCCTCTGGCCACTGCTGAGTTTTCCAAACTTGCTGGCATATTGAGTGTAGCACCTTAACAGCATCATCTTTTAAAATTTTAAACAGTTCAGCTGGAATACCATCACTTCCACTGGCCTTGTTATTTGCAGTGCTTTCTAAGGCCCATTTGACTTCACTCTCCAGGATGTCTGGCTCAAGGTCAGCAACCACACTACCTGGGGTGTATGAGACATCCATATCTTTCTGGTATAATTCCTCTGTGTATTCTTGCCACCTCTTCTTGATGTCTTCTGCTTCAGTTAGGTCTTTACCACTTTTGTCCTTTATTATGGTAATCTTTGTACGAAATGTTCCTTTCATATTTCCGATTTTCTTGAACAGATCTCTGGTTCTTCCCATTCTGTTGTTTTCCTCTATTTCTTTGCATTGCTCGTTTAAGAAGGCCTTCTTGTCTCTCCTTGCTATTCTTTGGAAATCTGCATTCAATTTCCTGTATCTTTCACTATCTCCCTCGCATTTTGCTTGCCTTCTCCCCCGCTATTTGTAAGGCCTCATTGGACAGCCACTTTGCTTTCTTGCATTTCCTTTTCATTGGGATGGTTTTAGTTGCTGCCTCCTGTATAATGTTACGAGCCTCCATCCATAGTTCTTCAGGCACTCTGTCCACCAAATCTAAATCCTTAAACCTGTTCCTCACTTCCACTGTGTATTCATAAGGGATTTGATTTAGATTGTATCTTACCGGCCCAGTGGTTTTTCCTACTTTCTTCAGTTTAAGCTTGAATTTTGCTATAAGAAGCTGATGATCTGAGCCACAGTCAGCTCCAGGTCTTGTTTTTGCTGACTGTATAGAGCTTCTCCATCTTTGGCTGCAGAGAATATAATCAATCTGATTTCGATGTTGCCCATCTGGTGATGTCCATGTGTAGAGTCGTCTCTTGTGTTGTTGGAAAAGCGTGTTTGTGATGACCAGCTTGTTCTCTTGACAGAACTCTATTAGCCTTTGCCCTGCTTCATTTTGATCTCCAAGGCCAAACTTGCCAGTTGTTCCTTTTATCTCTTGATTCCCGACTTTAGCATTCCAATCCCCTATAATGAGAAGAACATCCTTCTTTGGTGTCACTTCTATAAGGTCTTGTAAGTCTTCATAGAATTGGTCAATTTCAGTTTCTTCGGCACCAGTAGTTGGTGCATAAACTTGGATTACTGTGATGTTAAAAGGTCTGCCTTGGATTCGTATTGAGATCATTCTATCATTTTTGAGACTGCATCCCAGTACAGCTTTCGCCACTCTTTTGTTGACTATGAGGGCCACTCCATTTCTTTTACGGATTTCTTGCCCACAGTAGTAGATATGATAGTCATCCGAACTGAATTCGCCCATTCCCGTCCATTTTAGCTCACTGATGCCCAGGATGTCAATATTTATTCTTGCCATCTCATTTTTGACCACATCCAACTTACCCAGGTTCATGGTTCTTACATTCCAGGTTCCTATGCAATATTTTTCTTTACAGCATTGGACTTTCCTTTCGCTTCCATGCATATCCACAACTGAGCGTCCTTTCAGCTTTGGCCCAGCCGCTTCATCAGCTCTGGATCTACTTGTACTTGTCCTCCGCTCTTCCCCAGTAGCATGTTGGACACCTTCCGACCTGAGGGGCTCATCTTCCAGCGTCATAACTTTTATATGCCTGTTGTCTTTGTCCATGGAGTTTTCTTGGCAGGGATACTGGAGTGGCTTGCCGGTTCCTACTCCAGGTGGATCACGTTTGGTCAAAACTCTCCACTATGACCTGTTCATCTTGGGTGCCCTGCTCGGCAGAGTTCATAGCTTCTCTGAGTTCTTCAAGCCCCTTCGCCACGGCAAGGCAGTGATCCATGAAGGGGTATTTAGATTAATCCTCTCTATTTCTAAAAGGTGATTGGAGCTAGTAATATGTTCAGCTGTATATGCACGATCCTGAAGCACTGGTTCTTGGTTCTAAACGCGGGTTTACCAGCTGCACTCACCCACCCCACACACTACAGAATGACACCTTTTTTGCATGTGCATGGCCTAATGTAGAAACACAGTTCACACAGTTGCTTTTTAAAGCAGGGATTGCCTAGCATGTACTGAGATGGAACTGATGAGCATGAAATCTCGGTGCTATACATGTATCTGCAATGAAGAAGATAGAAAGCCTCCCAAGTGCATACAGGGCTTTAGCCGGTCAGACAGCCAACTTGAACTCGGGACTCCTTGCGCATGCACCAACAGACTGCCTGTATGGGTAAGTGCTTCCCCATGTCTGCAAACAGCACAGTACATATTCCTCTGTGTCTGCAGAAGTGCTTTCAGCATCAAGATGGATGAAAAGGCTTGTCCATGAGATTGCTCCCTGGAAGGGACAAAACATGTGGAATTTTGGGCTGGAGTCATTAGCCTTGGCCTCACAGCAGCCCAAGCTGGGACTGTAGTAGGGTTGCCACACGTCCCTAGAAGAACATGATCACATTATCCCTTTTTGGGGGGAGAAAAGTGTCGCCTGTTCTGTTTGGACTTCAAACATATTCATGCTCATTTTCCTCTTCCTCTTCCTCCTCCTCCTCCATGTGGGCAGAGGGTGGGTCCAGTGGGAGGAGGAGAGTGAGAGCCTGAGTGGGAGTTTGTGCAGGCAGAGAGAGGGTCCATGAGGAGGGGAGCCAAGAGTTGTTGTGAAACGTGTCATCATTCATTGCCTTGCGGGGAGGTCATAGTTCTGTTATAAAGCAACTGCACTGCATGCAGAAGGTTCCAGGTTCAGTTGCCTGCACCTGCAAGTTGGTCTGGAGGCATCCATGGTCTGAAACCCTGGAGAACTGCTGCCAATTAGTGTAGGCAGGACTGCCCTAGATGGGTGAACAGTCTGAGCTAGTGTGCAGTTGCTAACTATGCTCCTTTCCTCCCTACCAGCTTTGGATCTGCTTGTAGAAGCCTTGTAAGCTCCCAACTGGATCAAAGCAATAATGCTGAGAACCAGGCCAGCGCTTTGCTGTGTAGTCTAGCTTGTAATTTACCACAATTTACACACCCACACCAACTCACAACTTTTTGTAACACTTGCATTATAGCAGACTGCACCGTAGACATATGAGAAATAACTTACATTGTATTTCCTGTGATTAAGAAGAGCCATCACGATTCAACAGATGCCTAAGATGAAAGAACAGGATATCGCAGCAGGATGTTCAACACAGCACACAATACCACACAGCATATATTTTCATTAGATAGAATTTTCTGGCTCCCTAAGATAAACCAAGGGCACAGTCCACCAGGAAGTTCTTCCTTGTAAGTCTCACTGAAATGTACAGGAGCAGTGAAACAGCAACACAGCTACAGCTTTGTTTGTCGCTGAATTTTTGCCTTCTGAAAAATTACACAAACCTGTCATTGAACTCAATTCACCACACACAGAGCAAGAGTTGTGGTGGCAAATGTGTCCTCAAACATTTTTCTAGGCAAAAAACAAAGACCACACAAAAGCAGTAACATGAGATTCATGATACCCCAAACTTGGAAACTTGTGTTTGCTTTGTATCTCACTTTCTGGAGAGGGGGGAAACGGCAAAAGTGCTCCAGAAGGGGAGGGTTTTCACTAGGTTTGCAAGATGGCAGGAAAGGGCTGAAATCTGCATCCTGTGTGACATGGTCCCAATTCTGATCAGCAGCCACCCCTCCTAACACCAGAACTAAAAGGCTGGAAGACTCAGGACAGGTAAAAGAAAGTCCTTCTTTATGCAGTGCAGAGTTAAACTATGGAACTCCCGCCCAGGGGAGGCAGGGATGACCATCCACCCGGATGGCTTCAAAAGAGGATCATTTATTATTTACCGGCAGCCCATCTGACTGAGTTGCCCCAGCCACTCTGGGTGGCTTCCAGCAAAATATAAAAAGACAATAAAAATCAAGCATCAAAAAACTCCCCATATGGGGCTGCCTTCCGATGTCTTCTAAAAGTCATAGAGTTGTTTTTCTGTTTTAGTGGCTTTCCAAGAGGACTGGACGAACCCATGACGGAGAGGGCTATCGGGGGCTGTCAGCCACGAGGACCATGCTCTGCCTGCGCAGCCATGCTGCTGGGAGAGAGTTCTTGTGCTTGAATCCTGCCACTGTGCCGGTGGTCTCATCCAGCAGTCTCCTCTTCTGTTCTTATTTAAATAACAAAACCGTAAATGCACTGGCACATACTGTCTACCTTGATGTTTGAGAAGCTCAGACTGTCACAAGCAGAGGCTTCCTCATGACCATTAGCACAAAATCCCTTTGTGTCTTGCAACAGAGATTGTTCAGAATATGCTCGCTTAAGCCAGCAGCAGTCCTACAGTCTATGATTGTGAGCTGAAAGATGAGATGGGAGCCAGAGATATCAGCCCACTGCACAGCAGATTCTCCTCAAAATATTTTTCATGCTTTGAAAAGCAGAGATAGTTTCCTCTTTTTAAAAAAATCATTTTTATTTCATTTTACAATACAAAATTATTTAAAAAATCAAATACATAACCATATACAGAGATTCCTCCAAATCTCAGGACTTCCCCACCTCCACCCCCTCCCTGGAGTCCCATTTTAAACATTTAAAATTGCATCTTCTTCCACATTCTAACTATTCTATCAATCCATATCTTCCATGGTAATTGTTACACTACAAGTGAGATCAAAATCCTGCCAATGTTTCCATCTGCTTACAGTGGTCTTTTAAATAACTTACAATCCCCCCCCCCATTCTTTCGTAAACTTTTTGTCCTCTTGGTTCCTGCGTTTTCCAGTCAGCTTTGCCATTTTGGCAGAGTCCATCAGCTTCGTTTGCCATTCTTCTCTGGGAGGGACTTTGTCTTCTTTCCATCTCTGGGCCAGTAGCATCTGAGAGGCTGTTGCTCCTGATATAAAAAGTCTTTTCTGGTCTTTAGGTATATCGGTGCCTGTAATAAAAAAGCTTCTGTTTTTTTAACAAAAGTTATTTTAAACATTTCCCCCCCATTTCATTGTATATCATCTCCCAGAAAGCTTTTACCACCTTACAAGTCCACCACATACATTTCCAGCATGTATTTTTACTTGTCCTATACATTTTTGTCTTTGTCAATGGAGTTTTCTTGGCAGGGATACTGGAGTGGCTTGCCGGTTCCTGCTCCAGGTGGACCAGGTTCTTTATGGACCAAAAAGAAGGCTGATCGCCAAAGAATGGATGCTTTTGAATTATGGTGCTGGAGAAGACTCTTGAGAGTCCCATGGACTGCAAGAAGATCAAACCTATCCATTCTTAGGAAATCAGCCCTGAGTGCTCACTGGAAGGACAGATCGTGAAGGTGAGGCTTTGGCCACCTCATGAGAAGAGAAGACTCCCTGGAAAAGACCCTGATGCTGGGAAAGATGGAGGGCACAAGGAGAAGGGGACGACAGAGGACGAGATGGTTGGATAGTGTTCTTGAAGCTACCAGCATGAGTTTTGATCAAACTGCGGGAGGCAGTGGAAGACAGGAGTGCCTGGCGTGCTCTGGTCCACGGGGTCACGAAGAGTCGGACACGACTAAACGACTAAACAACATGCATTTTTGCCAACTTAGTAGGAGTCAAATACCACTGGTACATCATTTTCATATACAGGTAATTCTCTTTATTACAGGCCATGAAATTCTGTTCTGTTTTCCATAACCATTCCCAATCTGTCATCTGAATATTATGTCCCAAATCTCTTGCCCAGTGTATCATTACCACTTGACCTTTTCCTCTTTTGTATGCCATTGTAATAGCAAACTGTACATTTCCAACAGTAATTTAACATTATTTTCTAACAAATCGTTTTGAAATCTTGATGGCTCATGACTAAAACATTTCTTTTTATCTATTTTGAAAATATTGTTTAGTTGGTGAAACTGTAACTAGTCCATTAATATATCCCTTATTTCTTCATAATCATTTAGTTTCACCTGCTGTTCTATTTCAGTTAACAGTTCTCTATATGTTGGCCAAGTAATTCTCATATTTGATTTTTTCAGGATATTGCTTCTACGGGAGGGGGGGGGAGGAGTCATCAAGGTGTTTTTTGTTCTAATAAATGTTTATATTTTTCCCAAACCATAAATAATGATTTTCTTATTAGATGATTCTGAAAACCTTTATGTATCTTTCTTTTTTCATACCATAAATATGCATGCCATCCAAATCTATTATCATTTCCTTCTAAATCTAAAATATCTGCATTTTTCAATATTATCCATTCCCGGATCCAACAAATGCAGGACACCTCATAATATAATTTTAAATTTGGCAGGGCAAAGCCTCCTCTCTCCTTGCCATCTGTTAGCAGTTTATATTTTATCTTTGGTTTCTTACTCTGCCAGATAAATCTAGAAATATCTTTTTGCCATTCTTTGAAGTGTCCTGCACTGCCTATCACCAGTATTGACTGAAATAAAAATAGCATTCTTGGAAGTACATTCATTTTTATCACTTATATTCTTCCCCCAAAAGATAAATTCATCCTAGCCCAAATTTCTAAATTTCTCTTTGTTTCTTTCCAAGTATTTATATAATTGTTTTAAATAAATTAATATTCTTAGCTGTTAGCCAAACACTTAAGTATTTAACTTTTTATATATAAATAAGTCTGTAGCTTGTTGTAAGTCCTTTTTATAGTGTTCTGTCATTTTTTTTTACTAAGATCTTAGTTTTATTTTTATTTAATTTAAAGCCTGCTACCTGTCGAAACTCCTGGATCCTCTCCAACACTTTCGGTAAACTATTCTTAGGGTCTTCTACCATAATCACAAGGTCATCTGCAAAAGCTTTTAATTTATATGCTCTATTTCCTACCGTTATTCCTTTAATTGTTTCATCTGCTCTTATTTTTCTCTCCAAGGTTTCTAGGACTAATATAAATAATAACGCTGAAATGGCTAAATTAACCGGAAGACTAAGAAATCAAGAGGACAACAAATATATATAAAAAGATGGAAAATGTTTATTGCATATTTACAAAAGCATTGTAAAGAAGTTTACACAACAGCAGGGTTTTAAGAAACACTTGTAATATCACTTGTAAGAACAATGTTTGGAATTGGAAATATTTAAAGATAAGAAAATTATAGACATGTACAATATAAGAAAACGCAAAAGAACCGGGGGAGGGAGTGGAGGGAAGTCAAAGGATCGGAAGAATGCCAAAATATGGAATTTAATATGGTATGAAAATGTTTTATGTTCTATTTTCTATTTTTATTGCATTTGTTCATTATGGTATGTGAAGATAATGTCTGATTGTGAAAAATAATACTTTTTAAAATATATATATATATAAATAATAATGGTGACAAGGGACACCCTTGCCTTGTCCCCTTCATTATTTTACATTTTTCTGTAATCCCATTATTCACAATCAGGGTAGTGTTTTGGTCTGAATAAATTGGCTCAATACCTCTGCCAAATGCCTCTCCAAAGCTCATCTTTTCTATCTGTAATGATCTCAGGCAGGCAGGCAAGCCCCCCATAAGAATTAATGACTCTCCAGCAGTTTTATGTTACGTTTATTTCCAAAAAACACATCCAGAGCATGGCTTCTCGCCTGCTCGCATTGACAGAGCCCATCAGTCTGAATCTCCTCCCCTTTCACAGCAGGAAGGGACGCCAAATTCCTGCCCTTCCCCTCTTCTCCTTCCGTTGTCCACTGACCTTATCCAGTCTCCTAGAAAGGGGGCTGAGAGGCTGGCCTCCCCCCTCCCCCCTTCCACTCGACACACTCTCAGTCCTCTGCTTATATGCTGGTTGCCTAGCAACACTGGCTGCCTCCTAACTCTCCTGCTTCTTGAGAGATAACAGTGTCTTCTTCGGGAAGGGAGGGGTCAAACTACCCCTTCTCAGCTCTGTCAGCCAACTCTCATCTGCAGAGTCGGTCTCTATCACTTAGTTCAGTTTCTGAGTCTGACTCTTCCCTTGCTCTTGGGTGAGCCACATTCCTGACACTATCATTTTCTTCATAAAATTCCATGAAATATTATCAAAGGCCTTTTCTACATCTATAAACATTAAAGCAGCTTGTTTCTCATTCCTGACTTCCAGATCTTCTATGATGTCAATTATATTTCTTATATAATTCTTATATTCTTCATCTGGTGATCTGGCAAGAAACCTGCCTGATCTTGATGAATTATATCCACTAATACCCTCTTCATTCAATTGGCAAGTAGGCTGGCATATAGTTTATAGTCATTATTTAGTTCTGCACTTTCCAAAGCAGAAACAAAACCCTTGATGGCAGTTTAGGAAGCATTTTAGATCAGCAGCATCTCTTGTCAGACTGAAACCTTAGGAGGACAACCTAGGCTGCTTTGGGAGTCAGTAATGTTAACAGAGCCTTGTGTTTTACAGTCATCACTAACACAGTGGTACCTTGGTTCTCAAACTTAATTCATTCCAAGAGTCCGTTCAACTCCAGGAACAGTTCGAAAACCAAGGTGCGGCTTCTGATTGGCTGCAGGAGCTTCCTGCACTCAATTGGAAGCTGTGTTGGATGTTCGGCTTCCGAAAAACGTTTGCAAACCGGAACACTCACTTCTGGGTTTGCAGCTTTCGGGAGCCGATTTGTTCGGGAGCCAAGCCGTTCGGGAACCAAGGTACCACTGTAGATACCATACGGAATGTGCCACATTCATATGGAAACCATTCACAAACACTCTTCTTTCACAGCACACCCCTTCACACTTCTCTGGCCACTGAAGACTGCTGCAGCATTGCCAAAGACCATGAGCCTCAGGCTGCATCCTCAGCTGGGCTCTCTAGAGGTCAGGCTGGAAGATTCATGCCCAACACTTTTTGATTTTGCCACTTGTATAAAACATCATTTAGATACCTTTGGTTATATGCTCTGAAGAAGTGTTGAAACTTGATGAAGCATCATCTTGAAGATCATAATCCTGATTTCATTGGATCTGCTGCTTTGGAAGACTTGATGTGGTCGCAGTTTCATCATGTAGAACTGATTAATTGGTTGGGAAGAGCTTAACGGATTTCATACCAGCCCAAGATAGTTTGATGTGCAAAGCCAAGCCCAAATAGAGCCACGCCCAGCCCTAACCCCACTAGGGCAGATTGTTGAAAAAGTCTTGCTACACCTATCAGGCACCAGTTCTTGCCTTCACGTATTTCACCCCGCTGCCTACTAGGGTATCTTACTCCATGGGATTGTCAGGAACTAGGCAGATGAGGAAGACTGGCAGAGACCTCCATCCCAAGAGGCTTCTGGGCAGGAGGAAGATGACAATAGTATGGACTCGGGTTCGTGGTGGCGGCGAACAGGGCACAGCCCAGAAGAAGAAGCAAAGAGATGAGAAATAATGGAGGATAAGGAACAGGAGAAAGCAAGTAGTTGCCCTAATCCTGAACAGAGACAGGACTCAGATGTGGGAGAAACATTAAAGCAGACACCACGTCAATTGAAAGCCTGGTAGAACCTCCTCCTTCTCTGAGGAACAGGCAATCCCTTCGTATCTTAGAGCAGAGAGCCAAACAGAAACAGAAAGATTCCGTTGCCGGCCACCATAGGAGTAAGGAGGGGATTGGAAGCTAGGAAGTAACAGAAGGGGGTGGAGCAGGCACTCCGAGCAACTTCTTGAGACCAAGAGGAGCATAATTCACCATCTCTCTGTGTATTCTGTTGATTTAAATAAAAGAGCTGGAAGAAGCTCTCTATGTCTCTGATTTCACTAGGCAGCCAGCCTGTAGTCATGACAGGGACTGACTTCTGGGTATGTGTAGAATTGTGCCATGAAATATCTGTTACTTTTTGTCTAGTTAAATAAATAAATAATGCATAAGCCTGTTATGAAGATCACTTGCTATAGGAAGAGGAAAAATTTAGGCTGCAATCATAAGCAAACTCTGGGCTCATCCCGAGGTCCTGTTGCGCTACACTTTCTGGGCTCAGATCCGTGCTTTAAAGCCGTGTGTGTGTGTGTGTGTGTTTTTAATCCTGGTGCTTTCCCTGGGAAAACTCTTGTCTTATTGCGGTAAATGACAATCTACAGAAAACCCAGTTGCCATTTGCTCCAGTTCAGTTGGTGAAATACATGTTTTCCCCAAGAAATTGGCAAGACAATCCAAAAACCCTGCTCAGATACGGAGTTTTAAAGCCCAGACCTGTGCCTAAAATGCAGTCCAAAAGGAAGTTAGATGAGCCCTTACTTGGGAATAAACACAATTAAATTACACTTACCTCTGAATAAACATGCATATGATTGCCCTATATGTATATAATTCATACATTAGTTTACTCATTCAAAATTAGATTTACAAAATTCCTTTTGGCTGATAGGCTGATACACTAAACCAGTTGCACTCAACAGAAATTTAGGCCTATCAACTTTATCTGAATCAGGACTTTATGCATGTAGTAGTTGGTTTAGAAGTTGGCTGTCTTTAAAGCTTAGACATTCCCATGACCCATTTTCTATTTCAGGGCTTCTGTGCCTATTTATAGATAACAAAAAATGTGAGATTAATATTGTGAGGGAGCTATGCAGAACAGTATGGCAACTTATCTCCAGATCACATGATTAAACATTAAATTACAGTGGTGGCTTGACAAACCCAAGGCCCTATTTGGATTGTTTGGAAGCTCGATGATGTTTCACTACTATAAAAATAGGAAGAGAAGGAGTATTCCAGCAAGATTCTCACACGAAGTGAAAAGGCTAGGTTAAAAATAAAAAAGCAGAAAGAGGGTATAAAAAGAAGGATGCATCCAATAATGATAGGTTAAACCAAATGGTCTAACAAGGTCTGCCATTAACAATAACCCTTTTCTCAGGAAACTCAAGTCTCCGGTGATAAATAAGAATCACAGCAAGACAGGATGCATATGGACCCAGCTGCTGAGCTGAAGGGATATGGGAGGCAAACAATCTGTGCTCCATTGTCTTAGCATGTCCTTTGCAAGACTTATTTGTGCAATTTGAGCTTGCAAGGGGAAGATCACGAAGTTCACAGCTCCTTTGCTCCGCAAAGATGGAGATTCTCCTCTGCATCTTTTGGCAAGGGCTGCTTTTGGGACTGATGGGCCAGCCCAGCAAAACGGGGGAGGTCCTGTGTTCTGGCACTGCTTGCTACACACTCCACTTTGGGAGGCACAGCTGGATGGAGGCTCAGCGAAAGTGCGAAGACAATGGGGGCAACCTGATGACTGTGAAGAGCCAAGAGGAGGCATCGCTGGCCTGGCAACTGCTGGACAAGATGCCCAAGGAGGGAGCTGGCACAGACGTGAAGGTAAGACTGTGGATCGGGCTCCATCGGGAGATGGGCAAATGCTACCAGCAGCATCAGCCACTGAAGGGCTTCAGCTGGGTGAAAGGAGGCGAGGACACCAAGTACTCTAATTGGGAACGGGAGCCCCTTGGAACATGCACAACCAAGAGGTGTGTGACCCTTCAGAGGGCTCCTTCCTCACTTCAGGAACTGGCCTGGGTAGACAGCCACTGCAGTAGTTCAGCTGTCGAGATGTCTGGCTACTTGTGCAAGTTCAGCTTCCAGGGGATGTGCCGCCCGCTTGTTTTGGCGGGGCCAGGTGTTGCCAGATACACCACCCCTTTTGGCATAGCCACTGCTTCCCTTGTTGCTGTGCCCCTTGGCTCCACCGCTGAAGTGGCATGTGGTCCTCAGAGGGAGGAGGTGCCGAACGATTTCCTCATGTGCAAGCCACAGTCTAACAGCAACACCTCGGAATGGAGCAGCCCAGGCCCGTTCTGCGCTTCCCCCACTTTGGGTTGCAGCTACAGCAACGGGGGCTGCGAACACAAGTGCCTGGACTTGGGCAGGGGCTTGTTCCAGTGTGCTTGCCACGCCGGATACCAGCTTGCAGCAGACCGCCTTTCCTGCGTCTTCGTGGACTATTGCAGCTCCAGCCCATGCCAAGGACAGTGCCTGCCACGCCCAGGCAGCTTCGAATGCCTCTGCCCTCAGGGTTACATGTTGGCTGACGATGGGCTGCACTGTGTGGATGTGAACGAATGCAGTGCTTCCCAAAGCCCGTGTGGACAGATCTGTGTTAACACGATGGGCAGCTTCACCTGCCTTTGTAAACCAGGCTACAAGCCTGCCAGTCCTGATGGCCAGGAATGCCAGGACATCGATGAGTGTGCCAGGGGCATGCCATGTGAGCAGCTTTGTGTAAATACGCACGGCTCCTTCCTCTGCTCCTGCTACCCAGGCTACCAGCTGGAGGGTATCAATAGCTCTTCTTGTCTTGATGTGGATGAGTGCCTGGAAGAGCCTTGTGAACATATGTGCCTCAACCAGCTGGGCAGCTATCAGTGCTCTTGCAGAGCAGGCTGGACTTTGGCAGACAATGAGATCTCCTGTGTCCCTGATGTCATGGGCAGGGCCCCCTTCCTCCCCACCCATGGAGAGAGAGAACTGAGGCGGCCAGCTAACATCCATCCTTCTTCAGAGACACCCACCTTGCTGCCTCAATCTTCAATTCAAGCTGAACTAGAAGGATCTCAGGATTTTACCACCCACCCAAGTGTGCTGAGCACACCACTAGGTGCTGAAAATCAGGCTGGAGACATGATAGACCATGACAGTGGCAGCTCCAAGCAGCTCCTATATTATATCTTGGGTGGCATCGCTATTTTGTTACTGTTGGCGCTTGCCCTGTCCTTGCTGACCTACAGGAAAATGAAGGCAAAGAAAAGCAATAAGAAATCGATGAGTGCTGCTGATAATTACTCTTGGGTGCCAGATCAGGGGGAGACCAGGGCGTGACACTGTGTTTCTGTTGTGGCTGTCATTTTTGAGATGGAGGCAGGGAGGAAAGAGAAGATCTCTCTCTCTCTCTCTCTCTCTCTCTCTCTCTCTCTCTGTGTGTGTGTGTATATAAAATGATGCAAGAACAAAAATGCATATATGGGGAAATGTACAACAGCAACATTCTTACTGGGCCATCTGAAACTCTAAGGGTTCAGGCAGAAGTAGGATTTTAAGAGCAACCACAGCAGGCTCTGCACTTGTAGAATAATTCTAGCTAAGTATTTCACTTTAGAGAGATACGCAGCAGCAGCAAGCTGAATGCTGGATCAACCTGACCTCACCAGCTTCTGGTACCTTGATTATTATTATTTTTTAAGAGCAACACATAGAATCATAGCATCATAGAATAGGGATAGAAGGGACCCTCCTGTACATTTCTTTATATGTATATGCCCATCTATCACTTACTCCCCCTGCTTCCAAATCAAAACATTTAGGAACAATGGTTGCAAAATTACTCCAGGGATTGGAGGAAGGAGACCTGTGGGTGATGTGATAGGTGCTTGCCCATAGGTATCTTTCATGATGTGCTTTTTCTTATTCAAGCAGAATTACTCTAAAAGCCTTGCAGAGACAGATCAGCAGAGGATCCTCAAACTGTCTCCACAACTCTTAAACCATTGCTTCTATTTCACCCTAAGTTAACAAACTTGTGGCCCATCCTTAGGATACCCTATAAGGCTTGACTTTGACTAGAATTAGATGAATCAAAATCCTACAACTATAGTTTAAGCAGCCTGTGAATTAGCTAGGTTTGGATAAGCTGAAATCAAAGCAGGACCACATGATTACGAAATGGTAGTGCTTCATACACATTTAGACTGCACTGCAGTCTCTGCCGTTCTGCATTCTAGCCAAAGCATTTAGGATAGGCTGAAACATTCCTTGGAGATGACTGGGAATCCCACTGTAGGTGCAGAATCTGTGACAGCCTGGGGTCTTCTTCAGTATCAATGCTAGGATGTTCTTGGGGACCTCTCTGGGCTGCTTCAGGGACCATGTTGTCATAATAAGGACCAATATAATAAGGACCATGACTGGGTGCAAAGAGGGAAGTAGTTCTGGGGAATACCAACAGAAGATTGAAACCTAGGGAAGCAGCCATTGTGAGATTAATTGTAGTGATTGTTCAGTGCTGAGTAAACTTTGTTTTTGTTCATGCTTCAGTTTCCTGTTGCATCATTTTATGAAGTCTGTAGAAGCAAATATTACTGTTGAGTTTCTTTTATTTTTATATTTAATTTTGGATTTTCAGCATTAATTATTCTTTAATAATAATCCCATCAACAACCTGCTTAATGTACTCTAGGGATGGGGGTGGTGGTATCCAAGGTATGAAGCGATGTTCAGACCTTCAGAATCATCCAGGTCTGAACAATCCGGGTCATTACAGGGACAATGAGAAAGATTTTCCACCCCACTTTATTAATGCATGTACAGCCTGGGTGATTCTGAAGGTCTGACCATGGTCTTACTGTGCAGGCTTTGACAAATGGCACAAAGCTTTGTTAAATATTTTAAATGCCACACAGTTGTAATCCCCACCCCCTTTTGTATTACGTGTGTGAAAAGATCATTTTTACTGCTGTTGTTTTTGTCACATTTATATCTCTTTGTATGACAATACAAATCTTTTCAACCTAGATTTTGAAAAGCAGCTTAGTTTGGGGGTTGCAAACGTGCTTAAAGTTTTCTTTTTCTATCTTGAAATATTTTTACGGAACATGTTTATGGGTTACTAAAAAAACTGGTCATATATATAATTTCAGAGAAATAGATGGTAATAGTAAAGGTAAAGGGACCCCTGACCATTAGGTCCAGTCGTGACCGACTCTGGAATTGCGGCGCTCATCTCGCTTTATTGGCCAAGGGAGCCGGCTTACAGCTTCCGGGTCATGTGGCCAGCATGACTAAGCCGCTTCTGGCGAACCAGAGCAGCGAACGGAAACGCCGTTTACCTTCCCGATGGAGCAGTACCTGTTTATCTACTTGACTTTGACGTGCTTTCGAACTGCTAGGTTGGCAGGAGCAGGGGCAGAGCAACGGGAGCTCACCCCGTCACGGGGATTCGAACTGCCGACCTTCCAATTGGCAAGTCCTAGGCTCTGTGGTTTAACCCACAGCGCCACCTGCATCCCTATAGATGGTAATACCACTCTTTAATTTCACCAATGAGTACTAGGCATGTGATCTATAAGGTCCAAATGGAGAGGATATACATAAACATTTGAGTGGGGAAAACTAATCATGAACATCCTCACAGTGCTCCTGCAAAAAAATAATTGCAGCCACAGGTATTTTTATGTTTTTGTCAATAATTGCATTTGGCAATAGCAGTAATAGCAGTTTTGGTGCCTGGACAGCTACCCTCCCAGATCTTCCCATGGAAAGCCATTTCTATAAATAATATTTCTATCAGTAATTTATTTACTGAAATATTCATAAAGCCAAGTGAGCATTAGTATAATGGGATTTATGTTTTACCATTAAATCTACATGGTCAATGTTTTTGTCAGCACTGTTATATGCACTGGGCAAAATTAAGCACTTCAAAGGCCACTTGATTTCTACTGCAGATAATTAAACACATGCTTAACTTGTTTATCAGAATCTATTAAACTGACTTCATGTGGCTTGGATCATTGCCATTCGGCTGCTTAAGGTGTGTTTAGCACAATAAAGTTTCTAATGGCCCACCAGCTACATCCTGTTTCTTACTGTGTATAGGAAAACGTTTTCTTGCTGTTTTTCCTCTCTGTTGGCCCTATTGTGAAATCAAGAAAGTATTAAGGAAATGTTATGACTCTTAATGTCTTAAAGGGCTACCATTACCTTATTTGTGTATAACTGCCAATATTGTGCTTTGGCAAAACAGAATATGAAAACACTCCCCATTATAGCTTAAATCAGATGCTTGGGTTATAGCATATAAATAAAAAATTGAAAGATGTACTTATGAACTTTGCTAGGAAGTGGGACATGCTGATTTAGAATCATGACATTCAGGATGTCCTTTTCATAAACTTGCTTTGTATCTTCTTATCATTTTAATTCTATTATTGTTTAATTACCTTTTAACTATTACCTTTCTATGTTTTTAGGTTTCTGGGTTTTATCTTCTTCTTCTTTCTTTTTTGTGTGAGTTCTGGGGGAAAACACAGGATGTTATTATCCCTATGATTATTATTCACAACAACTGAGCCAATGATGGACATGTTTCAGTGCTCCAGGCACAGGTGAAGGTGCCCCCTCCATGATATAGCCTACAGTTGGCACTCCAAGTGGTGGCTCATAGGTATGGAGACCTAAAGGCAAAGTCCTATGCCCTTTTAAAATGTGGAGGGTTTTTTTTGGGGGGGGGCATTATTGGGTTGTTGTTTCTATTTTGATTATGCATTTTGTGGTTTTATATTTTGATTTTATTCTGTGAACTACCCCTTCCATTTCTGAAATGCAGTGCAATGAAGAATCTGCGGCTCTGCAGATGTTGCCACTTGCCAGACTACAGTTCCCACCCCCCTCTGGCCATGGACTATGTTGCTTGATAGGAGCTGCAAGTCTGTTAACATCTGGAGGGACCATAGCAGGACCCCCACCCCTTCCCTAGATCTTTCAGAGGGTACAGTTCTTTACCTTGGTTCCTGATAACATTCTTATTTATGGTACGCTCAAGGACTTAGGGTGTGCAACCTTTTTCAATTCCAGCATTGTGGTCCGCAGTGTAATCTGGATATCGTAGTTTGTGTTGAGGAAATTCCAGAATCTGTTTCCTGGAGTTCCTGACTCTCTCTCTCTCTCTCTCTCTCTCTCTCTCTCTCTGTGTGTGTGTGTGTATGTCTTCCTTCTGCTCAGCAAAGGGATTCTCCCCTTCTATATATTCCTCATCTAGACTCTAATCTACTCTAGACTCTATTCTCTAGTTTATCTCGAATCTATCTCGAATCTCCTGGAAGATTCTTGCACGGGGGGGGGGGGGCTATCCAGATATTGCTAGACTCATCCCCAAATGGTCAGGGATGTTAGGAATTGTAGTTCAGCAACATCTGGAGGGCCACGGGTTGCCCATCGCACTCCTAGCAGCATCTCAAGGGAAGTTGGCACAGTATAAGGGCCTACCAGCAGTTAGCCTTTAGAAAGGCCCGTGGCATTGGTGGCCAAACTGTGGATCTCCCTCCTGATTCACGTTCACCTGCTATCCACGCTGCTTCCCAGGTTCAGCCCATCCCATCTTATCAGCATTTGCATTTTAGCTGCTTTTGATGCTACTGATTCTTCCCCTGAATTAGAGGTGATTTTTTTTAAATGACTGACTTCACCCCCTAAAATGACACATCCTCCTGAGCTCTTCAGTATAATAGGGTTAATATCGTCCACAGAATTGTAGAACCCAGCTCCTGCAATGCAGGAATCTGTCACCCAACATGGGGCTCCTCCTCTACCAACTGAGCTATCCCAGCAGTCATAATTCACAATTGCACATTGTGAAATATGGAGGGGTAAAAACACTAATTATTCCGACTGAATGAGGAATCTGGCTCTGCATCACCAGATTCTTTGTTGTTTAAACTTCAAATGAGCATTCACCAGTGAGTCATCTCCATCTATATTAGCAAATTTACATCTTGCATCACTATTTGGCTTTTGCTTTGAAAATTTTTGTTGTGGGTTGGGTTTTGTTCCTCCCTCCCCAAGGTGCCAACCTTTCTAAGAAATGCCAGAAACATTCCAGAATAATAACCATCCTGCTTGAACTTATTGTTGGGAATTGGAAAAGAAGAAACACAGCCTCTAGCTATATATTATTCCAGATGCATGCCTGGAGGGGTAAATATGTATCTGGAACCCTATGTGAAGGATTGGGGAGGAGTACAGCAGGTGGCAGGGAGATACAGTGGGAAAGTGGTGAGCAGGGAAAGGGTTAAAGCGCCCGCTTTCCTGCAAAACTGATTCTCTCAACCTGTGTTTCAACATGCGCATTTGCCTATAATGTGTAGTTTAGTCCTAAGAATCATAGAATTGTAGCGCTGGAAGGAACCCTGATGGTCATCTAGTCCAAGCCCCTGCAGCTGATCCCTGTGGGGATGGAACCTGCAGCCTTGGCATTAACAGCACCACACTCTAACTAAAGATGCCCAGTAGGGATTGCCCTCCATACTTTGGTGTCCTGGAGGACAGCAGCACCCACTTATCAAGGGCTCATAGTCACCTTTTGAGAGTCCAAACAACGAGGGCCAATCCTGGTAGTGCAAAACAGCAGAAAACGTGACCAAGAAAATCCTGAAATCTCTACCACCTGTTCCAAATTTGTACAATTCTCATGTAACTTTTGACTGTCCAATTTCTAATGGCTTTCCCCCTTATTTATGTTGAGAATGTGATATTTAGTTGCAAACAGCACTTTATAGATTGCATTTTTATGCTATGAATTTCCTCAGGATCAATGGATGGAAAGCGGTATACAAATTTAATAAAGGAAACAAACAAACAAACTTCTGTCTGGGTGTTTCCCATGTGATGGCAGGAAGCAATCGTGAGGATCAGATGCTTGATGTAGTTATTCCAACACCAAGACGCCCAACAAAGGCTTGGGCCTGGGGGCAGGTAGCGGTGGTGGGGGAAAGAAGTGTGCAGACAGACACACAAGATCTCTATCTCAGGTCTGACCAGTGGATCACCGAGTTTTATCTGATTTGTACCTTTAGGTGGAAGAATAATTCCTGGAAGCTCCCGTGACTCATCCCTTCAGCTGATATGGAGGTTAGTCTCACCTTCACTATCAGACTGTGCCAAGGGATAAGGGTGGAATGAAATTATCTCCTTAAACCCATCTTAATAAGATATTATAGGATTACCCAAACACAACCAATATATCATTTTAATTGCTTATTTGATTGATTTTGTTCTCTGCTGTGTATTAACTGGAAGATCCCTCACTTTACCTCTGGGCTAAAATCCTGCCTGCGTACTCCTAATTCCAAATAAGACAAGTGTGTATGGGAAGACTCGGCAATTGGTGGAGCACCAGCAGAAAGGAATTCTGAAACTGGAGCAGTGGAGAACATCAACTAAGAATGGCTCTTCGTGTATCCTTGCTATGTATTTTTTTAAAAAAAACATTTTTATTAAAGATTTTCTTGGTTTACAAAAGTACATGCCTTGTCTCTTTTTTCACGTTGTACAGTCTTTCTTACAAATCAGTTACAGTGGTGCCTCGCAAGACGAAATTAATCCGTTCCGCGAGTCTCTTGTCTTGCGGTTTTTTCGTCTTGCGAAGCACGGCTATTAGCGGCTTAGCGGCTATTAGCGGCTTAGCGGCTATTAACGGCTTAGCGGCTATTAACGGCTTAGCGGCTTTAAGAAAAAGGAAACAAACTCGCAAGAACTTGCAAGACATTTCGTCTTGCGAAGCAAGCCCATAGGGAAATTCGTCTTGCGGAACGACTCAAAAAACGCAAAACCCTTTCGTCTAGCGAGTTTTTCGTCTTGCGGGGCACCACTGTACATTTGTTGTGAGACTTTAGTGTTGAGTACAGGATAAGGTTGGGGAAGAAGGGGTGGGGTGGTGAGGCTTTGGATCGTGTCCGTGTGGGGTTTTGTGTCAGGGTCAACTGGGTGGGTTCTCTTTCTATTTGTTTATATTTCTATTACATTACCTTGGTAGTGAGAGGTATTGGGGGGGCAGGGTGTGGTTGGCTGTCTGTGGTTGGACGCAGTGGGGTTTGTTTGCATTTGTCGGGGGGGGGAGGGCTTGTTGAGTCAGGTAAACCAGATTGATTCGTATACTGTCGGTGGATTCTTGTTGTTGCCTTGCTGGGATGTGTATGTGATAAAGGGGAGCCATAACGAGGTGAAGGCATCCTCTTCTATTTGTCCCCGTGTCATAAGGCCCTCTGCCTGGTTCCCTGCAACCTCACTTCTCACAGTGAGGGAACCACCGAAAGCCTCAGATTTTGCAAAGTTTACGAATGTGTTCTTTAGTTAGGGTGGTTGGTGTGTTTATGGGGTCTGGTGTCGTGACCATCAGGTCATCTGCGAAGAGCCCTTAGTTTGTAGGTTTTACCTTTCACTTCCACACCCTTGATACCTGGGTTTGATTGGAGTCAGATTGCTAGGAGTTCCAGGGCCAAGATGAATAGGAAGGAAGACAGTGGGCATCCTTGTTTTGTGCCTCTTTGGATTGCTATGGTATTGGAGCCCATATTGTTAATTCTGCATTTTGCGGAGGCTTGGGAGTAAATTTGTTTGAGGGTTTGTAGGAAGTTGGGGCCAAATTTCATATTAGTTAATACTGCTAATAGATATTTCCATTCTAAGCAATCAAAGGCTTTAAGGATGTCTAGGGACATGATCATCAGTAGGAATTTGGTTGTTTTGCTGTGTTCTGTCAGATTCAGAAGTTTCTCCTAATGGGGTTTATTATGTTGCGACCAGGGACAAAGCCTGCCTGATCCGGCACGATTAGTTTGTATAGGAAGATTTTTAGGCGGTTAGGATTGATGTGACTATCTTATAGTCTTAGTTTATCAATGAGATTGGGCAGTGTGATTCTGTTTTGAGGCTATCTTTGAGTGGTTTGGGGATAGAGACTATTTTGGAAGAGGTCCAGGTTTGGGGGATATCATTAAATAGGCAGGTGATGTAAGGCATCAGGGTTTCTTTGAATTTTTTTGTAGAATTCTGCTGTATAGCCATCCAGGCCTGGGGCTTTGCGTGGTTTCAGGTTTTTGAGTACCATCTCTATTTCCTCTGGGGTGAGAGGGCAGTTAAGGTTGACATGGTCAGCCTGGTTAGGAATCTTCTGATTTCCTGTTCAGGTGGGTTGTGGGAGGTGTATGGATTGGCATAAAATTCAGCAAATTCTGAGGTTATTTATTTGATGGAGGATGTTATGTTACTTTTTTAGTGACACAGTGTATTCTTGTTTTGAGTGATTCCCCCCCCCCCCCGCATCTGTTTGCATAGTTGGGAGTTCTTCCCTCCTTATTTGTAAAAGCGTTATTTAGAATATAGGATGTTAATCATATTGTTTTATTGATTTCTAGAGAGTCACTTTCCCTTCTTTTTTGTTCTATGAGTTTAAGGAGTTTTTTGGCTCCTGTTTGTTTGAAGTGTGATGAGAGGGTCATAATGTCTTGTTCTAATTGACCAATTTTTGAGGTTTGTTTTTTAATAGATGCCCTCTCCTTTATGCAGGCTCCTCTGGTGACCACTTTCATTGTGTCCCAGAGGAGGGGAGTTGTTATGTCGCCCACATCATTATCCTTAAATTGTTTTGGAGAGTTTTCAAGAGACTCTCTTTAGCTAGTTGGTTTGTGGTTAGCATGGGGCTGAAGGACCATGATAAAATAGTTTGTGCGTCCTCTCCTATTTTCAGGATAGCTTCTACAGGGGTGTGGTCTGTGATTTTAAAGTTACCAATGTTTGTTGTTTCTACCAGTAGAAATGACCCAGAGTTGCCTGTGGATCCGAGTTTGGGAATTTTCTTAACAAACTAGATTGAATTGGGGGATGGTCTCTGCCTACAGATCTGTGCGCAGAATCTGGCAACCATCCGGGTTGTCTTGTTATCTTTGCCTAACGGGAGATGATCAAATTTTTTGCTTTACTGGGAAGTCAGCAAGCCTCACCAGCAGGGGGTCAATGGTTTCTCTATGTGCCTCTTCATAAAAGGGACATCTAAAAATATATATGTTCAGGGCTTCCTATATCCCCCAATGGACAGGCACAAATTCTCTGGTCATGTGGGACTTTTTTGAAAGATCTTTCCAAGACTGGCGAGGGCAGAGCCAAGCTTCTGGAAAGTGTAAAAGCCCTTCTTGCATTTTTTGATACAACAAAAAAGAGATATGCTGCCAGTGCAGCTATCTCTCTCTCGATTTCTACAATCTTGTAGTCGGGGCACCTTCAGCATTCCTGTTGTCTCTTGGTGTCGATAATTCTTTGCCTAACCATATCTTTTGCTTGGCCCAAGCCCAGACTTAGAAGGGCTTGAGGGGCAAAACCCAGTTTCTGAAGAGTGTTCAGGATTGCTGTCTGCCATCCTGACTGGAACTGGTTGCAAAGGAACAGTGGAGCTATACCACGGGGGAGCAGTTTCAGTGACAGCCAACCGAAATAGGCTGATTTGCTAGCTTTGGGGGGTGGAATTCTGGATTATTCAGAGTGGTTACTAAGTTATTGAAATAAAAATTAAATAGTAGGGGGGCCAGAGGTTCTATTTAATTATCACCATTGAGAGAATGACTTCTCATAAAAATAAGAGTGAGGAGGATAACAGAGGCTTCGTACTCATGTTGCTCCTCCATGCCCAGGTACGGTTTCAGGGTAGCCAAAACCAAGCAGTCTTTTATGGGACCATAAAGACCACAGTAGAAAATGATTAAAGCATTAGCCTTGGTCAGACTATGGCAAATATAGACAGTGGACAATTGTTGCTGTCTATATGAAGAATTGGTGCTTGGTGGTGCCAAGACTGAGGCTGAGACACCCCCCCCCATAAATGCAGTGGACTCCCTCCCAGCATCCAGAGAATGAAAGCAAGAGACGTAGGAAGCAGAAGCTTGATGGCATTAACTGCTAAGTGCAGGGGAAACTGGCCACATGGCACTCTTCCTGTCTAGACATCTCCTGGAAAGAGGGTTCTGCAGTGAGAACCCTTTTAACTGTCTAAAATGCTACAGGAAAGGAATGAATATATGAGCTGCATATACATTTAAAGCACACCCCCCCCCGCAAGAATCCTGGGAACCATTGTCTACCCTCTCGCAGCACCTCACAATTCCCAGCCCCCTTAACAAACTAGAGTTTCCAGGAATCTCTAGTGGAGGAACTGGACTTTAAACGTGCTTTAAAAGTATGGCATGTGCAGTCTTGGACTTAGATGTGCCATGGGATTATTCAGCATTTTATCTAACAGCACTGCTCTCTGTCCTGGTGAGATGCCAGTTCCCTCTCGGGTGTTGACTGCTTGCTTGCGCTTTTGGGAGGAGTGCTCGCTCCTTGGCAGTCCTTGCAGCTCCTCTGAATCACTCCAGACCACCTCGCCCTTGGAGACCGAGGGGGGATTCCGAAACTTCAAAATTCTTTTTCTTTCTAAACGTCTACAAACTGACGCAGGCAGCTGTTTCTCCTATTGAGAGTGTCATGCTCCCATGAACACCATCTTACAAAAAGCACCATTTACTCAGAGGGTGCCATGAGGCATCTTGGGAGGCAAAAAAGCATCTCTGCCATTGCACAAGAGGGGACTGAGGGCAAATGTGACAAGCTCCACAGCTGCTGCTGCTGCTGCTGCAGAGGCTCTGGCAATGAGAAACACCGGGGGGGGGGGGATTACATTTAGCATTAATATCACAGCCAACAGCTGCAGCATTAAGAGCCAACATGAAGCCAAGTGGATGTATTGTGCAAGACTTTCTCTTGAAAGTGTTACTTCAGGCAGCAATTATGTTTGTTGCAACTCCCCTGATGCTTGCTGTAAGATGTACACATGTAATACTCCCTAGATCTTGAGACTCTTAATCTCAGGGTCGTTAGGCAAATGATTCCTGCGTTGCCAGGGGTTGTACCAGATGACCCTTGTGACCCCTTCCAACTTTACAGTCCTATGATTCTACGAGCGAATGAATATATGCATCCCCAAACATGCAGGGAGAGCACTCAGAAATGCACATTTCCCCTTCATACTTTTATGAGAACATTGACGCGGCAACACTCACCGTAACCACGACAAACACAATGTGTAATGTAATGTTGTGCAATGGATGAAGTATTTCTCTGGATTCCCTTTTACAAGATTGCATCTGACAATGAAAGACACATAGCTATTCTGTGCACCAGAACTTGGTCTGTACTGTGGTGCGTATGCACTTCACTCACTAATAAGAGGAGCTCTGATGGATCAGGCCAGAATCCTGTTCTCACTGCAGCCACCCAGATGCCTGTGCAAAGCCCACAAGCTGGACACGGAAGCATGCAGCCTCAGATCCCGGAGGGGGTGTAAAACTGTAATGAGTAATAGCCATTGATAGCCTTATCCTCTCTGGACTTGTTTCAGCCCCTTTTTAAGCCGCCCGTCTTTCTGCCTCTTGCAGTAGTGACTTCCATAGTTTAACTATGCACTGTGTTAAGTTCTTCCTTTTGTCTGTCCCAAATCCTCCAATATTCAGCTTCAGTGGGGGCCCCTGACTTCCACTATTATGAAGGACAAATAGACAACAACTCTCCAGCCACTTTTCTCATGCTGTATATAAACGCCTTCCTCTGCCCCAGCTGCAACAAAACATGTCAGGCAGCAGGCGCTGCAACCTTTCAGCGGCTTGACCTCACCCCCAAAGGTGTGCTCCTCCACTGTCTCCTGAGACAGACAGATGCCAGCACACACAATTTCATACATCTCACCATGCCCTGCCTCTTACTTACTTTTTCTCTAAACGAAAAGCCCCCAAATGTTGTAATTTTTCCTCATAGGGGAAAGAGTCAGCGTATGCTCTCTACGGCATCCCATTTTCACTAGCAGAAAACCTTTCTGGCACATGCCCCACATATCAAGTCTAGAGTACGATGCTTCTCTCGCACCAACTGCAGTTCTCCCTCTTGTTGCCTTGCTGTGGTTCTACGTCTGACCTTGTGATCAGGCCTTTCTCTATTTTGCTGCTTTGCTGCTCCCATTCATCCAAGAGCATCATGGGTCACCCTGTGATACTGGCAGACTGGCCCAGTTCCATTTGCCTTCCTCGTGTGATGTGTCCGGTTATCACCTATGATGTTCTCTGAATCCCTTTTCAAAAGCTACTGAAAAGGGAACACAGGATGCTAACCACCAATTTTCCATGGTTAAGATGCAAATGACTCTACATCCCATTTCTTAAAATGCAGCTGTGATAGTCTTTCATACATTTAACGCACATGACTCCCCCCCCCGCCCCCCCGGGAATCCTTGGTTCTGAAGTGTCTTCTGTGGGGAGTCACTACCAACTGTTACTGGGAGCTGCATTCCAGGACCCCTCCCTCACTGTCACCCCAAATATATCTACTTCTCTACTTCCTGTTCCCACAAGAGTCTTGGCTGCTGCTGGGAAGTCATTGCAAAATGGCCAAGGTCCTTCCTTAGTAACAGGCCAGGAAAGTGATTGATGAGATTCCAGCTCAGGGTCATCTCTGTTGTTTACCCTTCCATCAGCTCACGATGGAAGTGGGAAAGCAGGGAGCAGCCGGCAGCCTCTTCCATGCAGAACTGCTCGTGGTTAATGCAAGGGAGCTGAGCCAGCAAGATCCAAAGCGATTTTATGAGTTCCACTGCAATGTTCTTGTTGATGGATGCAGTTTGGCAGTGCATTTCCACTGGGGAAATAAAAGTGGGTTATAAGCTGAATGAATGAGTGATATATTTATAGTATCTATATACTACTTTTCAGACAGACCTTACAAAGTGGTTCATGCAAGTTTATTACAAGAATAAGCATCTTCTTTTTTTAAAAAAAGTTACAGGAAAATGGAAAAGAGACCTTAAGAAAAATCTGTTACTGCTTCTTCTCCATTTCCCAGGGCAAGGTGGTCCTACAGATGCCCCTGTGGTGGCAGATGGGGGGAGGCAGGGGCCACTCTGGAAGGTGGTGGCAATTTCCTAAGTTTCTTTCTTTTGCACTTCCATATATTTCCCATGGGACGCAGGTGGCGCTGTGGGCTAAACCACAGAGCCTAGGACTTGCCAATCAGAAGGTTGGTGGTTCGAATCCCCGCAACAGGGTGAGCTCCTGCTGCTCTGTCCCTGCTCCTGCCAACCTAGCAGTTTGAAAGCACGTCAAAGTGCAAGTAGATCAACAGGTACCTCTCCGGCGGGAAGGTAAACGGTGTTTCCGTGTGCTGCTTTGGTTTGCCAGAAGTGGCTTAGTCATGCTGGCCACATGACCCAGAAGCTGTACGCCGGCTCCCTCAGCCAGTAAAGCGAGATGAGCGCCGCAACCCCAGAGTTGGCCATGACTGGACCTAACGGCCAGGGGTCCCTTTACCTTTACATTTCCCATAACTGACCTGAGTGAGCTGGTGTTATACGGCAGCAAAGAAACTGATCTCCCCACCCCAGTACCAAACCTGTCCTGTCATGAACTCAGTAGATGGCCTTTGGCAAGGCAAGTTCTATCCCATCCCACTGGAAAATTGGGAATAGTAATATTGCCTAGTTCTTGTGCTATGTCAATCAGGCTGCCTCATGGCCTGTGCCCTGTCTCAAGTGCTGTTCCTGGTCATGTTTTGAGAGACAGAGATATATGAAGTACAACCAAATCCATTCTGTTAAGCAGCCTTTTGAAAAGGAAAGTGGTATGATCAGTCCACTCACTGCTTCAGAAGTCAGAACACCGTTTTAAGAGATTAAAAGCAGCAGCAGCAGAACCTCCCTAGTGGACAGGTGAGGTAACCTCTGTTGAGAGCATGCACACATACTTAAATATACAAGCAAGACCTGATGTTGTATACTGGCTCATCGAAACTTGCCTTTGTGCTGCCTTTCCCTGTCCAAGCACTTTTTTCTTTTGCCTGGCCTTTCCCCACAAAACCCCACTCTTTGCTGCTGAATCAAAACAAACAGCAATCCATGGAAAAACTGAATTGCCCTTTGTTCTTATTCAGTGTTAAAGAGGTTTTCCAGGGGACAGGGGCAGACCTGATCTTTCAAATTTCAGTGGTGCTCTGAGCCAGGCCAAAATTTCATATCCCTGCCTTTCGCCTTCTGTTCTGTGCATGCCCTAGGCCATAGTTGCAACGCCCTGCAACACCTCCCTCAGCTCAGCACACAGTATGCGGGAACCCAGTCATGCTCCCCTAAATACTCCTCGGCTTGGAAATCAGCGAGGCAAAATAACACAAACAAAAAACTCCGAGATACAGACTGGGAAAGAAGTGCGGACGGCTCCTAAGTTTGTGCATGTGGCGCAATGGATAGGGAGCGCAAGAGAAGCAGAGTCCGCGCTGCCACCCGCAGCCCGACTCACTTTTCTCGCGCGCTTCCCCACTGGAACGCAAACGCGTGTTGAGCGGCCGCCCCTCGCGGAACTCCCGGCTGCAGGTCGGGGCCGCACGTGTGGCCGTTTCCCTGCTGCCCGGGATGAGGCGTCTCTTCGGGGCGCGGGGGCGCCCGGGGTCTCCGCGAGGCGCTGCCCGGGGCTGAGGGCGGGTCGGGCGCGGCCGGGGCGCGCTGCTTGGGCGGCCCTTCCTTCGCAGCCGGGAGCCCCGCCTTCCGCCCCCTCCCGCGACTCCTCGGCCCCAGGAGGTTTCCTCCCGACGGGCGGCGTTTCCCTTCCCTTCCCGGAGCCGCCGTCCCCACCCAGCCCGGGCCGCCCGGAGGCCGTTATAAGCGCGGCGCGCCGAGGGCGGGAAGCTTCGCCCGCCAGGATGCGGCTCCTCGCCAGGCTCCTGCTGGCGGCGGCGGCGGCGGCGGCGCTGGCCGGCCGAGGCAGCGGCGGCGTGGCGGAGGCGGCGGCGGCGGCCCCTTCGGGCGCGCAGTGCCTGGACGCCGTGTGCTACGGCTTGTTCTGGGGGCGCGCAGCTTCGCGCAGGCCAGCGAGGGGTGCGCGGCGGGCGGCGGGCACCTGATGACGGTGCGCTCGACGGTGGCGGCCGAGGCGGCGGCGGTGCTGCTGGGCGGCCGCGCGGGCGGCGCGTGGCTGGGCCTGCGGCTGCCCGACGGCTCGTCGTGCGTGGAGCCGGCCAAGCGGCTGCGCGGCTTCCTCTGGGTGACGGGCGACGAGCGCACGGACTACGAGGCCTGGGCCGAGGCGGCGGCGCCGTCGTGCGGCCCCCGGTGCGCGCTGCTGAACGAGCGGCGGCGCTGGGAGGAGCGCGCCTGCGACGCCGCCGCCGCCGGCTTCCTCTGCGAGTACAGCTACCCCGGCGGCACGTGCGACCCGCTGGCGCTGCCCGCGCCCGCGCCCGCCGTCTCCTACCTGACGCCCTTCGGCGCCCGCGAGAGCGAGCTGCTGGCCGCCCCGCCGGGCACGGCGGCCGAGGTGGCCGGCCTGGAGGCCCGCCTGGAGTGCGGCGCGCCCGCCGGGGGCGGCCCGGCGCGGTGGGGCTCGGCGGCGCCGGGCGCCTGGGACTGCCGGCTGGAGAACGGCGGCTGCCAGCAGCACTGCGTGGCCTCGGCCGACGCCCCCCTCTGCATGTGCAGCGTGGGCTACGCGCTGGGCGCCGACGGGCGGAGCTGCCTGGACGTGGACGACTGCCGGGCCGAGCCGAGCCCCTGCGAGCAGGAGTGCGTGAACACCCAGGGCGGCTTCGAGTGCCTCTGCTATGAAACCTATGAGCCGGTCGAGGGCAGGTGCCTGCTGAAAAATCGCAAGTGCGAGGAGTTAATGTGCGAGCACGAATGTGCAGATGTCAAGGGAGAGTATAGGTGCATCTGCTCTGAAGGATATGCGCCCCATCCCCAAATGCCGAATACGTGTGTGATGTTCTGCAATGAGACCAGCTGCCCAGCTGAGTGCGACCCCCACACCGGGGACACCTGCTACTGTGCAGATGGCTTTATCTTGCAAGACGACCCAGATGGGACAAAGGTCTGCGTGGATATTGATGAGTGTGATTCTGGAAGTTGCCAGAAACTGAAGTGCATTAACGTGCCAGGCAGCTATATGTGTCTCTGTCCAGGTGGGCAGTTGTGCAAGGAACCACCAGATGAAACAGAGTACTCTGGTGATGCTGAAACTTATTCCACACCCTCAGTTCCCTCCTTTATCCCACCCAAGGAGGAAGATGCTGGCAGAAGCCAAGGGGTATTGATTGCTATCATTGTTAGTACCACATTGATGGTTATAGCGTTAGTAGCGATTTTGTGCTACTTGGTGAAAAAACACTGCACTTTACCCACCGTAATGGATTACAAATGCCAACAATCCGAGACTGGGGTGCCATTGCAGCAAGTAGTCACCCCAAACAGCGCCTCTTCCTGACGGAAAATGTGGACCTTCACATGTGAGGGAAAGAAGTGGGAATGGGGGAGAGCTAAATTATTTGAATACTGGATGGGAAATGCCTGTGAATTCCCCTCGGAACCGCTGTGCAAACATCGCTTCTTGAGAGTGGTCCTACAAATGCCATGCATTGAGGTCAATGTCAGTGTGTGACACTTTCCTGTGCATGAATCCCAAGGCGAGAGCGAATGCGCAGCAGGAGGGCGCCTGGACTGCATTCAGCTCTAGGACTTCTGCTCCAACTGCTTTTTCTCCAGATGCAGACTTCATGATTTGTTTCTCTCTCTCAACCAGACATGAAACTAACGGTGCCTTTCTTCTAAAAATGACTTTTTGTTAGTTTTGAAAACTTGGTTACCTAAAATAAAAAATAATAAAAAGGGGCTGTATTTTATTAGCATTGTTTTACAATGTATTGATACTGATGTATTTTCAGTCTGCTTCATGCATCTGATAAAAGGTGTTTGCTACAAAGCTTATGCCACATCAACCACTTAGGATACAGAACTACTATGCAACTCTCAATTTTAATGGTCCCTTGTCAGTAGAACTTCTAATTAGGATCAACGTGTAGTTTTTATGTGGCAGGAGCAGTTTTGCATATTTGCAGTTAAGAAGGTGTGTTTTATGTAGCAGCAACATTAGGAAGCTCCCTTCCACTGAGTCAGACCGTTGGTCTATCTCAGTGGCTCCCAATTAGGGGTCAGAACGCACCCAGTGGATTCATGGCCCCATCCCTTGCCCCCCCCTTTTGGTCATTTTTGCATGGTAATATCACAGATTTTATGGTCTGTTTTTTAGTAAACCTAAAAACCTTTGCTTATTAGGGGCTCCCCCACATTTTGTTAAAAAAATGCTTTGCAGAGGTAACTACCATAGAGTTATCAAAATTTTCAAAAGTAGGGGGTCCATGCCTTGGCTTTTGAAAAATAGGGGGTCCTCCATAATTACCTAACTGGGAACCACTGGTCTATCTTATTCATTATTGTTTGCACAGAGATTCAGCGGGCCGTGGAGCTCTGCCATACTCCCCCCCTCATCCCAGTGAAATATCTGTTTTACAATCTCATTTTCAGGCTGTGGGGTTTTTTTGTTTTTGTTTTGCAAAACAACAAATTATTTAACATTGTCAAATTCAGAAACATAATCTGTAGTTATTCAAACATTTATTTTGCTGAACTGAATTCTTTTGTCTTCATCCTATTTTCTTTTCCATTGCAAAATTTTCACTGATGTCTTTGAAAGTGGGTTCATGCCCTTTCCTCTTGCTTCTCAGTATCATGGTGGGGAAATCTGTATTGTGGTGTTTAATGTCCTCATTTCGGACTTTTTTTATTAAAAAGGTGGTAAAATAGACTTCAGATCCAATTTTAAAACCAGTTGCATATCAAATCAAGCCCAGAGCATTAAGTTAAGCGCTTCACATTGGAAGAGCTGAAGACAAATCTGAACTTCAACAGGACCCTGAAGAAGTCTGCTTTAAAGATTTATCTCATCTGTGCCTTTTGTGAGTTATGACTCCAGCCTCGCACTGTGTTCTTGGTAAAGAGTGGACAATCCTACAAAAACTCTAGCTGAGTTTAGGCTTTTTATTTGCTTGGCACAGTTCTGACTAAACAACCTTGATATTTCCGATTGTGTTAAAACGTGACTTTTTTAAAAAGTGAAAGTGAGTGGGAGAGGTATTTTTCATCAGCTGTTTTGTAAACTTCATAGTTGCAAGTATTTATTTATTTATGGGATATATATTATTGCAGAATAATGGTTCCATCCCATGGGTGAATAATAAAATTTATATGAAAAGTACAATAGCCTTCAGACGCTGGACACAGGCTTGTGTGCCAGTCTACCATGTTTCACTTGACTGAGACTGCAGCCCCGTCACATCTGGGAGTAAGCCTCACCCAGTTCAGGGTACTTCCACCTGAGTAGGCTGGGTTAGGATTGCAGCCTGATGCATGGAATAGCCAGCCTCCCCGCAACTGGTCTGTACAATTATGAAAAACATTCACAAATATAAGTTAAATAAAACCACGTTAGCTTGATGCCTATCCTTGATTAATAATGCTGTGATTGTGACAGTACTGATTATACAATAATGGTTCTATAATATGATAAAATGTCTAAGGCCACAACTGTATGCTCGCCTGGAAGGAAGTCCTGTTGAACTTAATGGGGTTACCTTTGAGTAGACACATGGGTGATAATCCAGCAACATTTCATTCATGGCTGATGCTGAACTGGTTTTTACTGCTAGATGAATCAACAAAAGCTTTAGTTTGTTGATCAGTGGAGACAAATTTAAACTGGTGGGGTTTGAGTTTACATTTTATTTTAAGGTTACTTTAAAATAAGTGAGAAAGAAATAAGAGAAATAAGAGAAAAAAATACTGTACTATGGTAGATATGAACTTTTCCGCTAATAAACATGACTTTAAAGCTTTTTTCATTTATATTATGTAATATAAGCATCATAGGTGCCAGCTCCCTTGGGCCCAAGCACCCGCAAAATTACCCATGAATTTCAGCACCCACTGCCCTGGGCACCCACAGGTGCAGGGCCACGCTGGCACTCCTGGTAAGCATAATGTAGAATGAAACTAAGCACATCATCACATGAAAAAGGGGGAAATCTCAGAATTCAAGTGATACAAATCAGAATTCATGATTGTGAGAGTATTTGATTATATAATTAGCAATGGATCCCTGAGCTTTAATCATTGATTGATTCTTTGCAAAAAAAAAAATTAATATGCTGTTAATTTCTAACAGCTAAATAATTCCAGAACTTTTTCTAAGCTATTGCATTTGTAAACATATATGGCAGAGAGGTTCCTGTGTGCTTGTAGGTACCGTAATTCTGCTTATATGAAGGAACGTTATCCAGGTATTAGCTGCTTTAGAAAACTCAATAGCTCCATTTAACACTGTTTTCCAAAAATTTCCTCTGGTAGTGTTAGCCTTTTTTTTTTTTTAATCAAATTGTAAGTTATCTTCAGTATCTCAAAAAGGCACCATATTGTGGGGATTTGGTAATATTGCAATTCATCCCTAAATTTATTCAGTTAAAGCCAATTATTAATCAACTAAAAATCTTCATTTGGTTGTTAGCCTCAATTTCATTATATACACAGATCACACCAGAAAGGCCTGTTTGTTTTTAATACCAGGATACCCAGATTTGTGACTTGCTGTGGTGTTTTTTGCGGATGCAAATCATTTTCAGTAACACGGATCAATGTTGTAATTACCGTATTTACTTGAATCTAATGCTCACCTTCTTTGGCCAAATTATGTTTCAAAAATTAAGGTTCGCATTAGATTCAATGGCACAATTACATTTGCCAGCATATACTTTTTTCGTTTCAAGGTTCTGAAAACTGAGGTGTGCATTAGATTCAATGGCACCTCAGACTTGAGTAAATATGGTGCTTACCTTCCTCATCTCCTTTCCCTTCCCTGGGATCTGGTTTACCTAAAAACAATATAAAATACAACCAATTTTAATAAAAATTCCAAAAAACAAAAGATAGAAAGAAAACTAATGCAAAACACTAATCAAATCTCTCTCTTTTAAAAAGAGCCCTCAGATAAGGATAACATCAAAGCAGCCAATTTGCCTATATCAAAGCAAGTGAATATAAGCATATATGAGCTCATGGTTACAACTACCACCAATTAATTGTGGGGTTATCTTGACTACCAAGATGGCATATGCAGAGCTCCCTAGGTGACTCTTAACATCCAGCAGCAAGAACTGACTAAACCTGCATTACTGATACAGAAAAGTGACTTTACACAAGAATATGTTAGTGACTTGACAGATGCTTTTCATAAAGTTGAACATTGTGTGGCAAAAATGAGAGTGGAAAGGATGTAGTACTTTTCCATCCAGGAAGAAGTGACTCTGCAATTGGAAGAAATTGCCTAGCAAGAATGCAAAATGTATGTCTTAGCTAAAGAAGATTAGCTAATCTATCCTTGCAGATATGGAAAGGCTACTTCTGCCCTTTTGTAGAGAACCTTTACACTGATTTATTGACAGAAAAGAAGGTGACTTGGCTGCAAAGGCTGGCAACCACCTCAGGAGGAAGAGGTGTTGCAGCAGACACCCATGCCTTCTGAAGAGGGTCATGTCTTGGAGGAGGAATTGCCTGGAAATTCTAATGAATGAAATTACAGTAGCTGTTATTCTCTATATCCCTTTGCTGAGCTAGAGGTGCTGTGCTTTGCTCCTCCTTCCAGGAAGGAATCCAGTTTCCTCAGGGAGCATTCAAATGTTGGCAAGCTTCTCTTAGATATATATTCTCACCCCAAAACCTCGCAGCGGGTCAATGCAGCTGCTCTTGCCAGGCAGCCTTGTGAAACCAAGGTGGCGATCATATTTCTTCATTCCCCCACGCTTCCTTGGCTGCACTCCTTTGCTGTGTGAACATTCCTAGGTATTCTCACTGTCTGCATGGGTCATTTTATTGCGAAAATAGAAATCTTCACACACTGTCTGAAAATGTGCAGGGCAACACAAAAACTACTGAATGATGATTTGACAATGCTGTTGTCTGGATGCTTCATAAAAAGCATGAGAAGACTTCCGTGGAGGCAGTTCAAGTTAGTTGGCTGGAATATTGTTGGATGCCGGTCATGGCTGTACTATCAAAGGGCTTAAGAGTACCTCTCTGAAAAGATGGAAAACCTGTTTTCTAAAACAGACATGGCTAACATGTCCCCCTTCAGATATTATACTACAACTCCTCTCAACACGAGGGCATTGTGTTGGCTGCTCCTGCTCTAAAGGTTCCTATGCAAGTCTTTGGGTGAAATGTCATATGATAGTCAGGCAGGAGTTAGGCAGTTGGTATTCTCTGTTTTTCTCCACCAAATGGGCAGCTGAGCATTTTGTAATGGCATTGTTTTAACAGCTGGCAGAGAAAAAAATTTTTGTAGGAAGACTGGGTTTTTTTATCTTCACGTAAGCTTTGGGGTTTAGATTAGTTTTAAAACATTTGATTACAGAGAGTTAACTATTGTCTCTCTATGAATGCATGTTGGTTGTCCTGTGTGCATTGAGTTCCACCTGCCAGGCGCTTTTCTTGCACCAGCCCCACGGAAATGAGTGGAAGCTGCCTGCCTGTGCTCTTGCATATCACCCCTACCTCACTTTTCACTATATTCACAAAATGGCATACAAAAAGGAGAGAAAAGAATAAACATACGGGATAGAACATTTGAAACATCAGAAAATAGAAAAAACGACAGCTTTCATAGTGCAAATTGTTGTTGCTAACTTATTTATACCCTGCTTTCCCTCCTGATGGGACTCAAAGTAGTTTACAGATTAAAAACAAGATGCAAAGGCATCTTGAAAGTGTATTAAACAAAAGGCTGCATTGGAAGGCTGCAGTTTTGACCAGATGAGCCACTGGGGAAGGGTGGTCTTAACATCATTTCCCATTTAAAATCACTTCACCAAACTGCTCCTTGTCCCTTTCCTGCCCCTGAACCTCTCTATCCCCCCCCCCCACTCACCATCCAGGGCATGGGAGTAGCCAAGAGGGGCAGGGGGGCAGCTGCCCCCTAAATCAATACAAGCCTGAGGATCTGCCCACTCCCAAACCCCTGGCTACGCTCATGGTGCAAAGTGTTGCTGGTGGTGGCACTGGGTCCAACTGAAATCCCGCAGCTCCGCCGGTGGCTGAGCCATCCTCTCCCCCTTCCACTTGACCATTTTTCTCCGCAGGCATTTGGAGTGGGGGTGGGGATTTCCTTGTGCATTTCCACTGACCACAAAAAAAGCATTTTTAGTAAAAATAAAATAAAATAAAAGTTACGCTACTCTTAGATAAAAGCACACGCTAGATGTTCATCTTGACCTAACACCACAACCTGTTTCCCAAAACATGCAGCGCAAACAGAAAAATCTTTCCTGAAAGCCACCCCAGCAAAGTCTATGGAAGAAAACCATAGACCACTTGCTGAAGTATCTCATCAAACTTTTAACTTGTTCAGAGTAAGCCGTTTCTTACCCTTTCTACCTCAAATTTGGCAGGGGTTCTCCCCATACTTACCACTCCCACATGACCAAGTTTCAAATTGGTCTGTTGAACCGTTTTCTAATTGTGAGCCATACAACCTACTTCCCCCCACCCGATGGCTCATGCTGAACTCACCCTTAACGTGGGGCCATTACTGCATTTAAAAAATCCAACTAGGGCTGAGTATTTGGGTGATAAATACTTGCTCAACTCACTAGTGAAATGTAGGTGAAATATTTTATTGTGAAATAATAATGGTCAAGTACTTACAATGTTAACTTAGTAGAACTGTTAAAGATGAAAAGAGAGCCAAAGACATGCAGTGCTGACCAAAACCTGGACTTAGTTATTTGAAGCTTGAATCCCAGAGTTGGAAGGGACCAGGAGGATACCTAGTCCAGCCCCCTTGAACTTGTAACCCTGAGAGTAACAGTCTCATGTTCCATCTCTATCTTGAAAATCTAGATTAATAAAATTATGGGGTTTTTTTTTAAAAAATGTTCTATCTCATGAGCTGTCCCTTAAGAAGCAACATTCTAAATATTTTCTGTCAGTTACTATTTGTAGCTAACAATGTTGTACAAATATTAAAGAAAAGGATCTGTTCTTAGCTGTGATCCCAGATCCTTCAGGATAGCCAGGGGTAGAATGGCACAAAAACAATACTTGGCAGATTCCTTCACTCAGTTAGTTTTTCAAGGTATGGAAAATGCCAGATTGTCAATATTTGTGACACAAAGGCACACTTTCTCATGCCTCTGGTCTATTGAAAATGTCAGCTTGTCAACATTTCCATCCACCTTAGGCAAAGATTCTGACCAATGTAGACAAAATAAGCAGATTTTCTGTTGCTAAGAAAATAAAAATTACTGAAACACATTTTTAGTCTGCTGTTCTACCCTACAGAAGGCAAAGTTACAGAAAATAGACCAGGACTTTAAGATGCTAGAGAAGTAAAACTTAGAAAAGGAGAAGTTTAATAGAAATGATTTTCAAACTGATATTCTATCAGTAAGACAAAGTCTTCTTCAAACAAAGTGATTTTTCTTCTTGATGGCATTTCCTGTACTTTTTGTTGGCACCCGTCTGTCTCAAGAGACAATGGAGTGTGCCTCGGGGGGGGGGGGGGAGGGGAATCAAACTGCTGTGTTAACAGTACTAAAGTGACCTCCCTGGAACACAAGCCTGGGTAGCGTGTATGGATGTCTTGGGCTGCCCAGACCTACAAGTATATCAGGTATTAAAAATGAAAATGCCATGGGGTACTTTTTGGGCACATTGCCTAATCTTGGATCCTCTTTCTCCTAATTTAGACTTATTTTACCACATTTCCTATAGGGTTATAAAAACTAATCACTGGTGTGGATGAAAAAAAGCAGGATACAGAGTTTCAGTTGCTGCAGTGGTGCTTT